ACCTTCTCCTGAGAAGTGGTAACCTCAAGTATTATTCTAATAGAAATACATCAAAGCCTGAATAGGTGCTCCCTCTGAAGACTTTTCATGCCAAGCTATTCTAAAGCACACCACCATCTCTATAACCACTATAGTCTCTTGATTAAGGTACTAAAACTCAGAAGGAAAAATACAAACGATTTTAAGAATCAGATTACATTATACTTGATGATTGAAAAGCAAAAAGAGATATTGAATTATACTCAGGTATGTATATTTCTTTAAATCTTACTACAATTATTTGATACTGTTCTATGAATATAGAACTATCTAGTGTTTAAACTGTTATCCTGAAGAGATATATTTTGGGCAGAGAAAGTATAAAATGAATAGAAAAACAAGCTAAAACTGTTATCCACCCCTACAGAAAGCCAGGGTGTTCAGTCAGGCCAGACCAGAGTCTAAGCACCACCTAGTGGCAGCTTCCTCAAATTACAAGAATAGTGATTCACAGTCATTAACACAGCAGCTAGGATTCTCCTTGCAAACCCCAATCTATTAAATGATGGCAAGGACTGGCTTTTTCTATATCTGGCCACGGATGAAATGTACCCTAAGGCAGTAAAAAGTTTTGAAGTCACCTAGTCCTTTCATTCATAGCTAGGCAGAATGTATTAATCATGTTTTTTATTTTCCATATCTTATGATGTTATGATATCTTAAAAATCTTGTGCTCTCTTCGGCAGCACATATACTAAAATTGGAACGATACAGAGAAGATTAGCATGGCCCCTGTGCAAGGATGACACGCAAATTCGTGAAGCGTTCCATATTTTTGTAATTAGTATTTTGGTGGTGAACATGATGTAATCTATGCAGAAATAGAAGTATAATGATGTACACCTGAAATTTTTACAATGTTATAAACCAATGTTACTGCAATAAACAAAAAATTAAAAAAAAAAAAAAAAATCTTGCTGGCTGAGGACAGACTGACCCCGCCATGGTTAACCAATTGTTAGCGATAGCAAAGGGCTGGCCAGGAGCATGCCTTTCCTATACAAACCAACCAATTCCAAGTCTATCCCCCAAAGCACCCCCTTTATCTAACTCTCACACACCAAACCAATATTTCCCCTGCCCTAAATCATCCCAGGGCCAGGTAGGAGGCAACTAGAGACCACCCCTATAGCCCAGAGCCCACCAGAACTATTCAAACTAGCCAGTCCTAAGCTGTTTGCTCTGCCCTGCCTTTCCCATGGAAACCCCAATAAAGGCTCTGGTCCAGGCTTTCCCCTCACTCCTGTTTCTGCCTGCTGACCAGATCCCAATGCTTCTCCTGTAGCCCTGTGTGGCACAGCATTCCCCCTTCTCTTGGGTAATGTAAGTAGTAAATTCTTCTTTCAATGGCATTGACCTCTCCATGTCATCACTCAGTCATCTCCATAAATGAAGATCCTCTGGGTACAAATGAGACAGAATAATTCATTTCAGTGAAGAATCACTTTCATTCCAGTTTCTGGGACACCTTCATCCAGAAAATGTCTCCATTCCACTTTTCACAAATACGCAGCATTTCCAGCCCAGTTATCATTTTCAGGGTTGACCTCATAGGCTAAGTAACAAACAAGGCTGTAAGATGGAAAGTGGGGAGACAAAGGAGAAACAGCAGGAAAGGGTGACGGTGTGCACATAAAAGCCTGACTCAACTCGACCCTGAGGATGATTTCTGCCCCTTCTTCTCTCCCAGATTCCAGAACCAGAAGCCTCTTTTCTTCTGCCACCTCCAAAAGTTGGTTCTGTCCAGGTACCATTGGTGGTTTGCAGTGCAGCTAATAGCTTAAGCTTCAAGACCCTTCACTTGCATTGAGTCCCTTCCAAAGATTATACCTAATTCTTTATTTGTAATGTGTATCCTTTTTACTAAACAGAATCCCTAAAAATCATACAAGCTTCACACTCTACGAAAACTGGAAGGGCGAGAGGGGTCATGGCTCCAGCAACCCCAGATGTGAGCCTTTCTCTTCCACCCAACTATTCTGGGCCCCAGTTTCTTTATCTGTAAAAGGAGGGGCTAACAAGACGGTCTTGTTTTAGGTTCCTTTTCCTTTCTCCTCAGCTGCATTCATTTCTCTACATACTAATAAAGCAATATGCTATTACCTCGCATGCAAGGCTCACTTTGCATATTGGCTTTTTAAAGATGCCAAAACAGGCCTGAAAAATGAATAGCAAAAATACAAGTTGGTTCTTAACCGTACACTGGCTAATGAGGGCGCAGAAAACAAGAGCAAAGCTTTTGCAATGAAGCCTGACACCAATGCTCAAAATTATATCACAACCTAAAGACTGGATACTTTCAGATCAACCCAGAGCTGTATTGTGGGGTCAGTAGCCGTGGTTCCAGCCTGGCTCTGCCACTCTTTGCACGTGTCTTTGGACAAGTCATTCAACATCTCTGGGCTTGTTTCTTGACATGCTAAGCAAGGGGACTGGGCCAGATGATCTCCAAGGACCTCTCTGTCTCTTAACATGTTTGCTCTATCTGCCTCTCTTGCCAGTGCTACCTCCCTGTTCCCCAGGGCCCCAAACTTGACCAGACTCGCTTTGTTAATCTTACCATGCCAAACTAACCTAGGTAAGCCACTGAACCGAGGAGGAGAAGGCAGGGAGAGAAGAAAAGAGGAGAGGACAGAGAGGGGAAAAGGAGAGCAGGAAGTCAGGGAATGCTGGGGCGTGGCACAGGGTTGGAGGTGGGTCACACCCTGGAAGGCAATCTAGAAACACTTCCTCCCACACTTGGGCCAGATGTCATGATCTGATGGGGTACCTACTCCCTGGGTCTGCATCGGGTTCTTTTCTAGGGTGATTAGCTCAGGCCAGCCAGACTTGAGCGCACAGACTTCCTAGAAAACGGTCACCATGGACCCACTCCTGCTGGAGCACAAGTCTCTAGAGGAAAGCTGGATGAAGAAGACAGAACACGAGTCACTCATACTAGCTAACCTGTGGCCTTTGGTGACTCGTTCTCATGCCAAAGCTTCCCTTTAAGTTTCTCTGGAGACCATCCAGCCCTGGGAGAAGGAAAACAAGAGCCTCAGATTAGTTGGAGGCATTCCTTATTCCATAGCAATTAAAGGTTTTCAGTTTTAATATTTCCAGCAGGAGGTGGAGATCCTGGCAAGAACAGGCCCTCAGTAAATACCTGGTAAGCTGAGCTGAATTTTCTCACTATTCCTGATGCTAAAGGCATTGATCCTGCTGGACTTCAGACCTTCAGTATGTCTACTTGCCATCTCTCCCTGTCTCAGGCTACCTGCTCTCTCCTGCCAGAGTAATCTTCCTGACACACCATGTCCGTCACAGTCCTCTCTGTCCAGTGACTGGCAGAGACAAGCATACTATCTAGGGTCGTTAGCCTTCCATTCACCTCCCTCTGGCACCAGCTGCTCCTTAGCTCTCCAGCCTCATGTTTCACAAACAGCCTACTCTACTGGGTTTCAATGTGAAATTTGCTTCATCCAATCACTGAACATGCACTGCGGTTAGTGCTCACCATGTGATAGGCACTGGGCCAGCTCCTTCCACATATGGCATAAAAGCCCTGAAAATCAGGTACACTCACCCCATCTCACAGTTATGCGAACAGACTACGAGCCCTTGAGTAACTTGCCCAGGGGCCCAGCACATCTAGTGGCACAGTCAGAATCTGGAACCCAGGTTCCCAGGTTTAAGTCGACCACTAGACCACACCGCGCATTAGTGAAGTGCCTAAGGACAGAGGATCCTGGAACAAGACTTGTACCTGCCAGAAGTTCAGTAGGTCCTCAAACACACACACATACATTCCTAATCCACTCCAGACTCAGCTAGGCCTAGAAAGTGCCCATCCTCCTCAAGGACTGGCCACCCAGCAGGTTGTCCTGGACAATGTCCCGCATTCTGGTTTTGGCCACTGGAATCATCCTAGATGTGGAAGTCCTGTCTCAGGTCTCCTGCCTGACTTCGCCATGCTGAGTCATGCATTTATTTGCCAACTGAACCTTCTGATCACTTACATCACTACCTTACGCACCAAGTACATACTCCCCACCTTAGTTTTATTATTAGCCAACATTTACTTAACACTTACTATGAACTGAGCACTATACTAAATATTTACATGAATTATCTCTTTTAATCTTCGTAATTCTCTAGGGTAGGCTCTATTATTGTAGCCATTTTACAGGTGAGGAAACAGATGCTTAGCAAGGTTAAGTAACTTGCCCAAGGTCACAAAGTATTAGAGCCAGTACTTGAACTGAGGCGGCACATGTACCCTTCACCACCACATATTAACCTTCCAATTACAGCCTCTTCTCAGCTGATCCACTTATTATACACACACACACACACACACACACACAGAGCTACACCGTCTGGTCCGGAGACAATGAAAGCCAAACCAAGAATCCACTCATTCATCTCTCCACCTAACTCACAAGCATCCCCAACTGGCCAGACTTCCTGAGAACTACTTTCCAGTAGCAGTGCCCAGGAGAAGAGCAGATTTGAACTGAAGGGTTTGGTGTAACACCCACCAGCTTGTCTTCCCATTGGGCACTGCCTTCTTAATTCCATGTTCTTCAGGCTCCAAAGCTCTTAGCAGAATTCCTGACTCCCGAGACTGGAGTAAAGGTAGAAAAAGGTTCAAGGGAAACTTCTGGAGAGCCAGCCACTCCCAGAGTTCAGTTTCAGACATGTTAGCCACCCAACCTGCTATCTGCTCCCCACACAGGCCTTCGATTAACTAGCCGGGTGGCTTTGCTCACACCATTGGGGCAGGGAGCATAGAGTAGACAGGATTAAATTGTGGGCCTTGGCAACAGACACGCCCAGTTCAAAGTGCCTCAGGTTTTCATCTGTCGAACCAAAATAATCATCTCTACTTCAGAAAGTTGTTGTGAAGATTAAAGGAGGTAATGCCACTAAAGGTTCAGCACAAAGTGCCCACCAGTTGGTAGTTACTGTCATTTTCTTACCCTCTCGGCCTGGGATGTGCCTCCCAGCTTCCCGGTACTTTCCACTTCCACCATTTCAAGACCTGATGCAAACGGCAGCCCCCCAATCCCTAGCCAGGTGGGTTGGGTTAAGCAGAACCAGCATTGATGAGCATTTTCTATATGCTGAGCACTAATGGCAGGTATTGAGGACATGAAAATGAAGAAGACATGCCCCTGAACTTAAGGAGTTCACAGCCTAAAGGGAGATAGAAAGGAACAGCTCATTCCAATGCCACCCAGGAAGTGCAGTGATGGAGCATGCCGAGGGAGCAGGGGAGGTCTGTCAGACCATGGAGGGCCTTGGGGGCCAGGATAAGGAGTCCGAGCTGAATTCTGAAGGCAGCGAGAAGCCGCTGAAAGGCTTTACGTAGAGGAGTCAAATGCACAGATTTATGCTTTAGAAAAGGATCACTTTAATAGCAATGTGGAGAAAGATGTTAGGAGGGCATGAATAATCCAATCAAGAAATGGTCCCTTGGGGGGTCGGGCTGCGTGGCTTAGTGGTTAAGTGCGCGCGTTCCGCTACTGGCGGCCCCGGGTTCGGATCCCGGGGTACTGACGCACCGCTTGTCTGGCCATGCTGAGGCGGCGTCCCACATGCATGTGCAACTATGAAGGATGTGCAACTATGACATACAACTATCTACTGGGGCTTTGGGGAGAAAAAGGGAAAAAAAAAAAAAAGGAGGAGCATTGGCAATAGATGTTGGCTCAGGCCGGTCTTCTTCAGCAGAAAGAGGAGGATTGGCATGGATGTTAGCTCAGGGCTGATCTTATTCACAAAAAAAAAAAAAAAATGTTTAAAGAAATGGTCCCTTGGACAAGACAGTGCAAGAGAGACAGAGAAAAAGGGATGGATTTCAAACATATCTAGAGAGTGAATCCCAAAAGTCTTGACATTGGACACTGTCCAGTCCTTCAGTGTTTGGAGATTGAGGGAGAGGGAGATGGAGAGGAAGGTGACACAGAGGTCTTTGCATCCACCACATTTTAAAAATCAACTCTCTCTTAGGGCACTTAATGGCAATTTAACTTGCCTTGTGGTTATCTGTTGCTTGTTCATCTGGTTAGTCAGTTAACATTTATTGCCCACTTAAATGCCAGGCGTTGCCTCAGGTGCTTGGAGGGTTCCAGTGACAAATCAGTTGAGTGAGAAGTATCAGCAAAGACCAATGTAGAGAAAAGATACAAGCAGAGAGCCTGGGGAATGCTGAGCTTTGGCTGGAAGGTGGGGCACAAAGAGGAAGATGCAGGGGCCAGGCTCGAAACAGGCTGGATCAGACCGTGCAGGGCCTCAGCCAAGGAGTTTGAACTCTGGGTCATGGACACGGGGAGCTATGGAAGGTGGGAGAGAGAATCACAGCTAAGCCTTAACAGATCCTTCTCACAGAGATGAACCAAGAATGTCTTACTTGTCTTTGTTTTTGGGATCTCTGGGGACAAGGGCCTCATGTTTTCCACCTGTTCATCTGGTTTTTCATGTGGTATCTTGTTCACGCTTGAACACAGCCCCCATTGTTTAAGAAGTAGTCCACAATATATGGTAAGTGCATAAACACGTGAGTACAGTCTTACATATCCAAAGAAATGCATGTGAAGTATGGTGAGAGACTGGTCCAGCTAAATAAAATGTAAGCCCCCTGACAAATCAAGGTCTCTCTCAGGGTCCTCGACCACACTGAGAACGTGGCCACAGGCCTTTCCACCCAGAAGTGAACAGCTCTGGACGAGAGTTCTCAAATATCTTTGAGGAGCTATTCCGAGTCACTCATTCCTAAGCAGCTTGAATACTTCCGGGGCCAGCTATGGGGAGCTAAGGTCCAGGGTGCAGGAATACAGCCCTGGGCCTCCCAGGGGAAAGGGAGCAGTACCTTCTGCTGAGCACTCGCCACCTGCCAGCCATTGTGCTACATTTTCACATGTACCTGTGTACCTGAAGAGGGGGAAACTAGCCAGACTAGACTCCTCCAGCAAGTCTGAACCCCATCTCCCTCACCAACCTCTGCCCTTTGGCTCAGGACATCTGGGTTCTGGGCCCTGCTCTCTTGCTATTGTGTAAGGCCTTGAGTTGATTCTCTCCCCTCTTGGGGGGCTCATTCCCCTGTTATAACGCCGGGAAACTCTCCTGCCCCTCTCTACAAAGCATGAGAGAAATCCAAGGGACGGTGAAAACGTCACGGTTGAGTGCCCGTTAAATGGCAAAGCCCCTGGGCGCAAGTGGTTTCCGGATACACACCTAAGTATGTTTTTTTATTTTTTAAGGGATTAACTCTCTATTTCTGGGGAAAGCTGCTTCAATTCCATAGCTATGTTGAATATTTACTATAACTAATGACTAATAGGGAGAGGATAAAGAAAAAAAACCTGCAGACATCAGGGAATCCAGAAATCCATTTGGCTTCAGCATATATGAGGTTTTCAGAAATAAATTTACCTCCTTACACTGGTTTGATTCAATATTGAAAGGAGTCCATATTCTCTGAGTCCTCCTCTGACTGCTCATGGAAAACCTCCATGGGAGAAGGGAGGGAGTGTCCAGGATTCAAAATCCACTACAAATAATACCAAAGACGACTTTCTGCACACAGATGGTTAAGCGTTGGCTATAATATTTTCTTGATTAAGCTGGAATACCAAAACAAACTTCTGAGATGATAACTTTTAAAATAGTGCCCTGTAATGTTTCCCTTCAGCTTCCTGTCTGGTAACCCCTTGCTCACCGCCTCCAGCAGTTTGCTCACAGACCCCATAGCACCCAGGCCTACCTGCTGGGCTGCCTCGTGGAAAAGTTCCTGCACTTGAGACATCTGGGCCATTCTCGTGGAAATGGGGGTCCTGGCGGTCTGGGCGGGGAGACCCCTCTGGAAAGTAAACACCATCCTTGGTCAGGCTGGCTCCTCCTTCCCTCTCTTCTTATCCTCCATCCTTCCTCTATACCAGACATAGCTCTGACTGAGGAAGAGACCTTATTCTACCTCATCTGAAAACATCCCCTTGCCCTCTTTGGTACCCAAATAGATCCCACTCATCCTTCAGAGCCTCCTTGCGCTCAAATCTTGCTGTCCTAAAGCTACAACTGGCCCCAGCTCTCTCTTTCCTCCCTGAGCTCTTTCAATATGGGGGTCAGAGCCAGCTGCCCAGCAATTGAGGACACAATTTTACACTCCCCACTCACCCTGTGAACACGTTTGTCCAGGGCAAGGGCACCATCAGCTCACTAAACTGGTTGCAGGTGGTGAGTGAATGTAGATTGGACCATGAGCAGAGTGGGAGAGGGGAGGTTAGGAGGTTGTCTTAGAGGAGCAGGGCCAGAAAGGGGTAGGAGAGCGGAGAGGACAGGTAAGAAAAAGATGACTGAGCATCATTATCAGGGCTTGGTTCTCCTCAGACCTGCATAGTCTTTCCTTGGCCCTGAACCTGGCTATCCTTGGGGCAGGGACCTTGTGCCCCCTTTGTGCACCCCCTCTCCCCAGCATAGGGCTGGAACATAGAGAGGGCTCATGACATTTTGGAAGGAGGAGGAAAAGGGAGAATGAGAGAAGGGGTGCTGGGGGTAGAGCTTGTCATCATGTGAGAACAGGACCCATGAGAGTAGCCAGCGAAGGCGAGGAAAGGAAAGCGCATTGAGGAATATTCGAAGCAGAAGAGTTGCGGGGGGTGGGGGGCGGTGTTTGCTCAGAGAGAAGCTGGGGAGACGGCAGGGATTTGGAGGGCTGCAGAGGAGTAGGGTGCGAGGGGGACCCAGGAAAGGTCCCCCGCGCCCCACGGCCCGCTGCCCACGCGCATACCAAGCGGGTCCTGCGGGTGGCGCGCTCGGCCTCGCCGACCCCCGCCGTCGGCCTACGGCAAAGGACCCCGGGACTCACGAGACCCACCTCGGAGTCAGAGCCCCGGCCCCCTCGCGTCTCGATCAGTGCTGGGACCCGCGCCCCTTCAGCACGCCGACTTGCGCGAACCCCAGATGGAGCAACCCAGCCCCCTCCCGCCGCGGCTCCCAGACGGGGCTCGCGGGACCCCCTGGGAGAAGCCACGAGCCCTCCTCCGGGCCGGGCGGGAGGCGCGCGTGTCCCAGTGCCCGTGTGCAGACGCGCCAGGTGACGGGGGAAGGGAGCTCTACCTGAGCTGTGGACAGAGGTGACCCAGACCGGGCCCCCTTACTACCGGACAGAGCTCCTCGGGGGAGAGGGGCCGCCCCGAGACCACCTGTGCCCTCCCCACCCCCCAGCCCCGTCCGCCCTCACCTGCTCCCGGGCCAGCGAGCTCCCAGCGCCGGGCCCGCCCCGGCCCCGCCCCCGCCACGTGGCTGGCCAGGTGTGGGCTGCGCGCGTCCCAGCTGTCCCGCTGGCGAGGCGGTCCCGGGTTCGGGCACCCCGGCCACGCCTGTACCCACGAGTCCCGCGTCCAGGGGGAGAGAGAGGAGGCTGCAGAGACTTCCCTTCCACAAGAGTCGGCCCGCACACCTACCGCTGCCCAGGCGGGCTCCGCGCTCCCAGACAGTGCCGACAGGCCGGGAGTTGGGGACCGGAATCTTGACCCGGGAGGAGAGGGGAGGGGACGGGGGAGAAGAGGGAGCGTCTGCAAGCCCTCAGACTTGACTTGACCAGCCACTGCCGCTGTCGCCCTCGATAACTAGTTCAATACAACCAGCCGAGGTGCCCAGCCCAGGGATCAGGGGGACAGCCCTGTCTAAGGAATTGCACACAGGACTGAGAAAGGCTGGGGAGGAGGGAAGCCTGCGGGCGGCTCCCACACTGGTCCCGCAGCGCCCTGGGCAGGTGCAGAAGCCTCTGGACTGGAGACTAAGACTCTGCCCTCCAGTCATCCCAAAGTGCGCCTAGCTACCCGACCGAGCGACCCTCAGATTCGCTGGAAGTGGAATTCTTTTGCCAAGAAAGTGCCCTCAGGAGTGCTGAGGTGTTGGGGGGGGGGCGGAATTGCCCTCACCACCTTCAGCAAGACCCACAACTGGCTTTCCCAGGGGTGAAGTAAGGTTTCCAGGGCCTTAGCTGGGAGAAAAAACTAAATTAACATAC